GTCAGTGATTGGTGGAGGGAGGGGGTGAGGGATGTCAGTGATTGGTGGAGGGAGGGGGTGAGGGATGTCAGTGATTGGTGGAGGAAACCTTTGAACCTTTTCCAGTTTGGTCTTATCCTTGACTAGATATGGACTCCATGCTGGGGCTGCATACTCCAGGATTGGCCTGACATATGTGGTATACAAAGTTCTGAATGATTCTTTACACAAGCTTCTGAATACCGTGCGTATGTTGGCCAGTCTGGCATATGCCGCTGATGTTATCCTCTTGATATGGGCTGCAGGGGACAGGTCTGGCGTGATATCAACCCCCAAGTCTTTTTCTCTCTCTGACTCTTCAAGAATTTCCTCTCCCAGATGATACTTAGTATCTGGCCTCCTGCTCCCTACGCCTATCTTCATTACATTACATTTGTTTGGATTAAACTCTAACAACCATTTGTTAGACCATTCCTTCAACTTGGCTATGTCTTCTTAAAGTCTCAAGCAGTCCTCCTCTGTCTTAATCCTTCTCATAATTTTGGCATCGTCCGCAAACATTGATAGAAATGAATCTATACCCTCCGGGAGATCATTTACAAATATCAGAAACAAGATAGGACCGAATACTGAGGCCCTGTGGACTCCACTGGTGACTTCACGCTAATCGGAGGTCTCACCCCTCACCGTAACTCTCTGCTTCCTATTGCTTAGGTACTCCCTTATCCACTGGAGCACCTTACCAGCTACACCTGCCTGTTACCTGGTTTACCTGGTTGATGGGGTTCTGGGAGTTCTTCTACTCCCCAAGCCCGGCCCGAGGCCAGGCTTGACTTGTGAGAGTTTGGTCCACCAGGCTGTTGCTTGGAGCGGCCCGCAGGCCCACATACCCACCACAGCCCGGTTGGTCCGGCACTCCTTGGAGGAATAAATCTAGTTTCCTCTTGAAAATGTCCACGGTTGTTCCGGCTCTCTCCAGCTTATGTACCAGCCTCTTATGCGGTACTGTGTCAAAGGCTTTCCGACAGCCCAAGAAAATGCAATCCACCCAGTCTTCTCTTTCTTGTTAAATCTTTATCACCTAGTCGTAGAATTCTATTAAGACAGTCAGGCAAGATTTACCCTCCCTGAACCCATGTTGATGGGTTGTCACGAAGTCCCTTCTCTCCAGATGTGTTACCAGGTTTTTTCTCACAATCTTCTCCATCACCTTGCATGGTATACAAGTCAAGGACACTGGCCTGCAGTTCAGTGCCTCTTGCCTTTCGCCCTTTTTGTATATTGGGACCACATTCGCCGTCTTCCATATTTCTGGTAGGTCTCCCGTCTCCAGTGACCTACTAAACACTATGGAGAGTAGCAAGCAAAATATCTCTGCACACTCTTTCAGTACCCATGGCGAGATCCCGTCTGGACCAACAGCCTTTCTAACATCCAGATCCAGCAGGTGTCTCTTGACCTCCTCTCTTGTATTTTCGAACCCTTCCAAGGCCGCCTGGTTTACTTCCAAGGCCGTAAGTAAAGGCCAAGTAAGTAAACCGCCTGGTTTACTTACTTTCACGGCCGCACGTGTGCGTGTGTGTGTGTGGGTGTGTGTGTGTGTGTGTGTGTGTGTGTGTGTGTGTGTGTGTGTGTGTGTGTGTGTGTGTGTGTGTGTGTGTGTGTGTGTGTGTGTGTGTAAATCATGAAAATAACACGTGGGGAAAAATGTGACAGTGTCAGTCCACGGAGGAAGAATTGAAACAGGAATTTCCTTAAGTACTTTCGTATATTAATACATCTTCAGAAGGAATGATTTACGAGTCAAGTATTGGACAAATATATGGGCAGGAGGAAGAGGTGAAGTGAGGTACAATGAAAAATGAATGGGAATTAGGTGGATATAAATAAGAGCTGCATAAGAACCACAGAAGGCCTATTGTCCCATACGAGGCAGCTCCTATTTATACCCACTAATGGTTCATGGTCCCATAAAATAAAAGCTTGCATCAATAGGCCCATAAATGGATAATAATAGCATAAGATAATAAATATTTACAATGAATTAGTGAGACAAATGTGTATCAATGATCTTACTCAAATCATCCTTTACTTGATCTATAAAAAAATGGATCTCAGTTATATAAACCACTGCTAATGTTCAAATTACATTCTTATTTAATCTGTATTAAAGCAGATTCAATTATGTTCCTATTGAAAGTGATTTTACAATTCGTTATTGAAGAAGTCATCTCCCAATCAATTTGGTGAGAAGTTTCTGACAAATGAACAAACAAAGCATTAGACAATTGGCCATGTCTTACAGAGTATTTATGTTGCGAAATTCTACATTTCAAATCTTTAGATGTCTACCCAACATAGGACCTATTACAGTCTTTACAAGGTATTTTATAAATGACACAATTATCACACGAGGGCTGTTTCTAACTAAGGAAGTTTCTATTTCATACTTAAGGAAATTCCTGTTTCAATTCTTCCTCCGTGGTCTGACACTGTCACATACAAATAATATATACAGTTGGTGCATATCATGTATACATGGGAGTGCAAGCATGTATATAACTTCCCCCCCCCCTCATCATCTCTCTAATGGCCTTGTCCCCACCATTAATCACGCCCGGCCTTCTCTCTAAAGAGTTTTCAAGGGAAAGATAACCCGCCCCCCAACCGCGTTTTTTGTTTTTGTTTTTTGGCGCGAAACTCGTCAGCTGACACCATTAGCCACGCATATTTTAGTTTACAGGTAGACACGTGAAGGTGGACGCCGGATGTGTAAACTGTTTACAACCGCCCTAGGGAGGGGGGTGGGGGGTTTATTTACTCTGCAACTGTTTATACACTTGCGTTTTTGAAGTGGAATTGATTTGCGTCGCTTTTCTTTTGATTTGCAAATAGTTTAGGGTCACTGTGTACTTTGATGTTGACTTGTTGAGTGGTCTCACCGTGACCTGGCCTGTGGCAGGTCAATGGCTGCTACTGAGCCTTTAACGTGGACATTTGTTACCGACCCTTGACCTCTTATCTCCTTCGTTATCAGTAGCATCTGGAATATATCTCCTGGCCACCCAGAGACTCTGGAACATAGCTCTTGGTCTATGTTCCACCTCCCACCATGTGGGATGGAGTTTTTTTTTTTCTACCACAGACGTGGCCACACATTTACAAAGCTAACCAGCATATATACATTTTCTTCTGTCCTCCATGGACAGGGTTAGAGAAGTGTTAAACATATAGTTCAAGGGTTTATTGAACACTCAACCACAGAAGGTGATTCAGTGCTTTTAAAATGCTAAGCTAACCTACATACGTAAATACATAGATACACAGATTTACGTATGTCATACATAAAGTGTTGGATGTGTCTTTTACATAGTGTCATTAATGTACATTCACAAAGGTGAAATGTAATTCTGATCAGCTTCCATATATACTTTATACCCATACATATACATACACACACACACTTATACATACATATATACACACACACACACATGCATTCACATACATTTGTCTCATTTACTCTGACAGGTTAAGGTAGCTGATAAAGAAACTAGTGTGCAATTAAGCACTTAATCACTGAAGGTGATGAAGGTGCTTTTACAAGCTCAGGTTATATAGTTACATCATATATATACATTGGGATGGAGGTGATGGGGGGGGCGGAGTGGGCCGTGCCTGGAGCCGCGGCCGTGTTGATATCATCAAAAGTTTTACCATTTAAAGTTGTTATCGCTATTATGAGCAGAGTATGTCGAGTAGAACATTTCTGGTAATTTTCCTGAGATCAATGCATAATGTTTTACAATAGAGTGAACAAAATATTGACCTTCGTTTCTTGTTTTAAAAGTATGAAGTCAGACCATAGTCATATGAACATGTGAATATATGAACATATGAAGACCATATGAAGCCCATATGAAGCCCATAGCCAGTAGCTGGATCGTCGTGGTGTTCAATATGTGACAAGCGGTATTCTGTTCTCTTTCGAATCGTGTCAATTCCGGCCTGACCATGTTGAGCACGAACCCCACAGCAATCATCAATGTGGAGAATGTGTTACGGAATGTTGGATGTGGCTAGCCCAAGCATCTGGTCTCCAGCCTCGGACAGAGAGACATTCTATTTTATAGATATAGACACACACACACACACACACACACACACACACACACACACACACACACACACACACACACACACACACACACACACACACAGTCCCCCATAACAGGCTGGTACATAAGCTGGAGAAACAGGCAGGAGTAACTGGTAAAGTGCTCCAGTGGATAAGGGAGTACCTAAGCAATAGGAAGCAGAGAGTTACAGTGAGGGGTGAGACCTCAGAATGGCGTGAAGTCACCAGTGGAGTCCCACAGGGCTCTGTACTTGGACCTATCCTGTTTCTGATATACGTAAATGATCTCCCAGAGGGAATAGACTCATTCCTCTCAATGTTTGCTGACGATGCCAAAATTATGAGAAGGATTAAGACAGAGGACGACTGCTTGAGGCTTCAAGAAGACCTAGACAAACTAAAGGAATTGTCGAACAAATGTTTGTTAGAGTTTAACCCAAGCAATGCAATGTAATGAAGATAGGGGTAGGAAGCAGGAGGCCAGTTACAAGATATCATTTGGGAGATGAAATTCTTCAAGAGTCAGAGAGACAGAAAGACCTGGGGGGTTGATATCACGCCAGACCTGTCCCCTGAAGCCCATCTCAATAGGATAACATCAGCAGTATATGCCAGGTTGGCTAATATAAGAACGGCATTTAGACACTTGTGCAAGGACTCATTCAGAACTTTGTATACCACCTATGTCAGACCAATCCTGGAGTCTGCAGTCCCAGCATGGAGTCCAAATCTAGTCAAGCATAAGACCAAACTGGAAAAAGTTCAAAGGTTTGCCACCTGACTAGTACCCGGGCAGAGAGGTATGAGCTACGAGGAGAGACTACGGGAATTAAACCTCATGTCGCTAGAAGACAGGAGAGTTAGGGGGGGATATGATCACCAC